CCCACAATTGGCTACTATTGCGGCGATTTGTTTCCCATGACTTCATTTAATTTTTATAGATATATGTATTTTTGTGGCACTATTTATATGTTAATTTGTACCAGGTTTCAATAATTTTTAATTATAACTATTTTATTTTTAAATTAAATTTTATTTAAATATAGGAAATTTTGAAGCAAATAAAAGTAATATTTATTAATTATAATTACATGATCAGATATTTTGCATTGTTTGCATGTTTGTATATTATTTGCACAATGCACCTATAAATATAACTCTAAAATATGTGGAAAATAACTAAAATTCTATAGATGCTTATTTATTTAAAACTATTATATAAAAATACATTAAGTTAATTAAGTTCTGTGAATGATACCACTTGATTAGATATATCTAAATACATTTTGTATAATGTGCAATAAACTTCTAAACTAAAGTATATGTACCCTGTTTAAATCTCGGCATGTTCGAAATAGAAAGTGAAATAACTTTTGTACGTTACTATAATGAGTTAAATACAATTTAGAAAGAATGGAAATTTTTTTATTATAATCCATCAATTATCATATTGATATACTTTATATACGTAAATTGTAAGAGAACGAGACCACTTGGTAAATTATGTCAGATTATATTTTTAAATAATGATAATATGGATTAAAGTACTGTACACTGTGTACCATGTATTAATAAATAACACATTGTACGAGTCCCATCGAAAAATGTGCTGATTTATGCTCAAGATTTATCTTCAGTCTGTATATAAACGCAAAAAAATGAAAAATTACTTTAGTGAGTTAAATATAATTCATTACAATGCGTGTAAAATATTTAATAATAATCCAATGGTTAGCATTGGTTCACTACAGTCGGGCCCAGGAGTGCACAGGTGTTGGTGTCGACCAGCGTATAGACTGCGCCCCCGAACGGACAGTCACTGAGGCTGAGTGTACGGCACGGAAGTGTTGTTTCGCCCCAAAAACACCCACCAGTAAAGACAGTAAGCAACAAAAATTAATTTGTTAATAATAAAACAACTATATTTTAATATGAATAATGTTATAATTTCTAAACACAAATAACATAATAAGTTTATGTAATAATTAATCCAATAGATAAATACATACCGACATGCTTTATACCAAAGACTTATTCGGGTTATAAAGTTTACCACGTGTTTGAGGGCTCAGACCATACGTTGGTAGATCTCTCTCGCGAGATCCCATCGGGATTTCCCAACGATATAAAGTCGGTGTCGTTTCGTATAACACATCTCTCGCCTAATGTGTTGCGAATACGTGTGACTGACTCTAATCGCACCCGATATGAGCCCCCACTCCCGCAACTCAATCTACCCAAACCGGTAGCCGTGAGTCCGCTCTATTCGATCGACCCCATTGAGCATGGTGAGATATTTTATTTTTAAGTTTATATTAATTAGTTTTTATTTATTACAATTTGAATAGTAGAATTTAATTTATAACAATTAGCCGTGATGTGTAATGTGATGTAAAGTATAATAAATATGTGGCTAAATAAACAATTAATATAATGTGATTTTTTCATGTAAAACTGTAAACTTAATAAAAAGTTTTTTAAAAACAAACTGTATTTTGTGTTGTCAATTAAATACAGAAATGATTGCTACGTTACAATTAAATTAAGTTTATTTATAGTAGTTACAGTATATTTAATAGTAATAGCATTAAACGATCTATATGTAAATTTAATAAATATAACTAATAATTGCCATAATTAACAGGTGTTGTGACTATAAGACGGAAATCGACAAAAACAATCATATTTCAGACCGACTTAACAAAGCTGGTGTATGCGGACCAATTCATCCAGCTCAAATCACTGCTTAGTTCGCACCAGGTATACGGTATTGGTGAACAAAAGGCCAAATTCCTGAAAGATACTCAGTGGCAAATATACACAATATTCAACCATGATCAACTTGTACAAGAAAAGCACCCGGAGTACGGTTCCCACCCCTTCCACCTGAACGTCGAGGACAACAACACCGGTCTATCGCACGGTGTGTTTCTGCACAACTCCAACGCTATGGACCTACTGTTACAGCCGGAGCCGGCCATCACGTGGCGGACCATTGGAGGCATTTTAGATATGTTTATATTTTTGGGCCCCAATCCGGCAGATGTGGCCCGAGATTACGTCAGTCTCGTGGGTAAGCCTGAAATGCCTCCCTTCTGGGGTCTGGGCTATCATCAGTGCCGGTGTTGTAGCGAACCCAGCACTTTGGCCGCCCAGAAAGTGATCACTGAGCGCACGATCGCCGCCGGAATACCCTTTGACACCCAATGGAATGCCAAAGAGTATATGGAGACTACATTTGATGACTTCACGGTAGACCAAAAGCGGTACAAAGGGTTTGGCGATTGGGTCCGACATTTGCACGATATTGGTATGCATTACGTGCCCATTATTGACCCGGGCATCGATCCCGTTAATAAAGCCGGTATGCTATTTATATTAATGTAAATTGCATTTATTAATATAACTGTACAAAGTACAACATTTGAAAAATATTTTAATCGTAAATTTTTATATCCAGGTACTTACCCACCATATGATGATGGAGTGAAAATGGATATATTTATCAAGAACCATACCGATGGTATATTTGTTGGCCACACGTGGCACACGAGGGGCAAAACAGTTTGGCCCGACTTTTCGCACCCGAACTCTACCGAATATTGGACCAAACAGTTCCGGGAGTTTCACAAACAGGTGCCCATCGATGGCGCCTGGAATGACATGAATGAGATCGACAACCAGATTAGCCAATCGATACACGGGTGTCCAAAGGGTAACCCACTTGAGTTGCCCCCATATGTGCCAAAACAACTGAGCAAAATGCAAGACCACACACTTTGCATGACTGCCAAATCTCACGCAGGCGTTGAATATAATGTGCATAATTTATATGGCATTTACGAGGCTATGGCTACCGATAAGTGAGTATTTTTTATTTGTTTGAAAATATAATCAAGTTAACAATAATGTGATTATACTGTATCATGTTTATTATAATTATTTTATTTGTCATACATAGAGCGTTGAAAGAGGTTCGCCAAAAGCGGTCATTTGTCATATCCCGGGCCACATCGCCCGGTCAGGGCAAGTATTCCGGGCACTGGGATGGAGACATCGATACAGATTATTCAAGTATGCAGTGGACCATTGCATGTGAGTTAATATAACATTTTTATAATTATTATATTTTTTATATACTGTACAAAACTATATGTTATTTTTATTCTAATGATAATTTTTATTTTTACATTTAATTTCTCATAGCGATTATGAATATGAATATGTTTGGCATACCGTTAGTCGGGGGCGATATATGCGGTTTTCTGGGCAAAGCAGAAAACAATACATTTCACCAGGAATTGTGTGCTAGGTGGTTTGAGATTGGTGCGTTTTATCCGTTTGCCAGGTTAGATTATCTAATTTAAACAATAATTAAATATACTTATTAAACTTTACAAATACAAATCAACTTCAGAAATCATAACACAAAGAAAATGGACCAGGATCCAGTGGCCATGGGCACTATGGTTACTCGAGCGGCCAAACAAGCACTGGAAACCAGATACACTCTACTACCATATTTATATACTCTATTTTACCAAGCTAAAGTCAACGCCGACACTGTAGCTAGACCATTATTCTTTGAATTTCCAACTGATAAGCACACATATGAATCGGCAGTGGCTGAGCGTCAGTTTATGTGGGGCCAGGCGTTTATGATAGCGCCTGTAGTTGAACCCAATGTGACCAAAATCAAGCCCTACTTACCGGCGGGTGTTTGGTATCCGTTTGAATACCCGAAGTTTGATAAGCCTATTGTGAGTAGCGGTCAGTTCATGGAGTTTGACGCCCCGGTAGACAAAGTGAATACATTCCTGAGGGCCGGACATGTGGTGCCAATACTACCTTCTCGACAGACAACCACTGCTATGAGAAAGGAAAAGTTTACCTTGCTCACCTTTTTAGATAAATCAGGGTCAGCCCCCGTTACTGCCCATGGTCAGTTATATTGGGACGATGGCGATTCAATAGATCCTGTTGAACAGAAACAGTATACTCTGATTACTTTTGAAGCCACTGAAGTAAACTATATAAATTATCCTAGAACTCCTTTTAAAAAATTATTTTTATGATATTTGTAGAGTACCCTGGTTATAAAACCAGAACATAATGGTTATACTGGCGCTGTATTGGTGGGTGAGATAGATGTGTTTGGTTTGAGTGCTAAGCCAACTACGGTGTTGGTCAATGGTGTGGCGGCTAAAAAGTTTTCATTTAATCCCATTGGGCAACAATTATCAATAAGTGAACTAGAACTTAATATAGGCACAGTAAAACATACAATTGAATGGAAATGAAATACATAGAGTAAAAATACTTTTTGTATTTAATTATTATTATAAGCAATTTTAATATAAAATACCTGATAATTAAATTCTAAACTATATTTATTGACAAATAAAATTATTATAGATTATATTTTTCTGTATTTATTTAACGAGATTGAGAATTTTATTTTATTAACAGAAACAACTAAAATTTTTTAAATTAGGTTGGCAATATACAGACTTGTATTATGCAATTGTATTATTCATTGTACTGTATATAAAATACAGTATATCGAGTTAATTTAGTACTTTATAGTAAGGGATTAATATCACTTGATAAGTGCATCGTATTTTGTACAACATATGATTATTTCTCTAGTAAAACATCCTTAGTCGTACAAACTAATGTTAAAACTCATTCATAGTATTTGATAGGATTTGATATAAAAATCCCAAAAAATGAATGTTTTTTAATAAGTTGAAATACATTTTTCAATGCTTAAGTTTAATGTCATAAATGAGTTTTAACATTAGTTTGTACGACTAAGGATGTTTTACTAGAGAAATAATCATATAAGTTTTAAACTATTTGCACTCTGTCTGGATCCCACCATGTGGGGTAATCTATTCTCGCCAGAAATCTCATAATGTATAGAATTTAAAGTAAAATAACTTTTGTATAGATAATATTAATATAAATCAGTAAAGTATAATTCACAATGATTGGAAAATATTTAATTGTAATTTATCAATTATTATATTGATATATTTTGCTTACGTAAGTTGGCATGGAATAAACCACTGGGTAAATTATGTCAGATTATATTTTTAAAATAGATAATAATAGTAAGAGGTAATTAAGTGTTGAACAATGTTCACAATGTAACCTGTATATAAATGCAGTAAAACTGTAATTTAGTAAGTTAGTAACATAATCCATCACACAATGCGTGTAAAATATCTAATAATAATCCAATGGTTAGCATTGGTTCACTACAGTCGGGCCCAGGAGTGCACAGGTGTTGGTGTCGACCAGCGTATAGACTGCGCGCCCGAACGGACAGTCACTGAGGCTGAGTGTACGGCACGGAAGTGCTGTTTCGTCGCCAAAACACCCACCAGTACTGATAGTATGTATTTTGTTTTTTATTAATATTTTGATAAATTTATTTACTTATACATTATAACTTATAACTTTAAATGATGTTATTATTTTATAAACAATAATTATATAAATTTATAAAATATTTAATAGTAACTTTGATCATTAAATTCCAGATAAATACATACCGACATGTTTTATACCGAAAACCTATTTGGGTTATAAAGTGGTTCACGTGTCTGAGGGCTCAGACCATACGTTGGTAGAGCTCGAGCGCGAGACCCCATCGGGATTTCCCAACGATATAAAGTCGGTGTCGTTTCGTATAACACATCTCTCGCCTAATGTGTTGCGAATACGTGTGACTGACTCTAATCGCACCCGATATGAGCCCCCACTCCCGCAACTCAATCTGCCCACACCTGTAGCCGTGAGTCCGCTCTATTCACTCGACCCCATCGAGCATGGTGAGTTATTTTATTGTTTTATTTTTAAGCTTATAATAATTAGTTTTAACTTATGACAATTTAAACTAAACTTTTTAATTTATAACAATTAGCTAATGTGATGTAGATTTAATTTTAACAATAAATATAAAGTAATTTTTTTTATAAATGAAAAACTGTAAACTTTAATATTTTTTTTTTGTTATAAACTTAACTGTACAGTGTACAAAAAATGATCTCTAGTCTATTTACAGTATTTTTATTGTATAAAATAAGTTATTATTATTCGTGAATAAAACGTGAATCATTAAACGATCTAAATGTATATTTAATAATTATAGCTACTAATGAACATAATTAATAATTACCAGGTGTTGTGACAATAAGACGAAAATCGACAAAAACACCCATATTTCAAACAGACGTAACTAAATTGGTGTTTGCTGACCAATTCATCCAGCTCAAGTCACTGCTCAGTTCGCATCAGGTGTACGGTATTGGTGAGCAAAAGGCTAAATTCCTAAAAGACACCCAGTGGCAAATATATACACTATTCAATCATGATAACCTTGTACAAGAAAAGCACCCTGAGTACGGTTCCCATCCGTTCCACCTGAACGTCGAGGACAACAGCACCGGTCTATCGCACGGTGTGTTTCTGCACAACTCCAACGCTATGGACATTCTGTTACAACCCGAGCCGGCCATCACGTGGCGGACCATTGGAGGCATTTTAGACATGTTTATATTTTTGGGACCCAATCCGGCAGACGTTGCCCGAGATTACGTCAGTCTCGTGGGTCGGCCTGAAATACCCCCATTTTGGGGTCTGGGCTATCATCAGTGCAGGTGCTGTAGTGAACCGCACACTCTGGCCGCCCAAAAGTTAATAACTGAGCGCACGATCGCCGCCGGCATACCGTTTGACACCCAATGGAATGCCAAGGAGTATATGGAACCGACTTTTGATGATTTTACGGTAGATCAGGACCGATGGGCCGGGTTTGGCGATTGGGTTCGACATTTGCACGATATTGGTATGCATTACGTGCCTATAATTGACCCGGGCATCGATCCCATTAATAAACCCGGTATGCTATTTATATTAATGCAAATTAAAGTTACATGTTTCATGTTACAGTTTTGTTAATAAATAGTAAAAAGTACAAACTTTTAAATGCTGATTTTTTAAACGCCCAGGTACGTACCCACCATACGACGATGGAGTGAGCATGGATATATTTATTAAGAACCACACCGATGGTATATTTGTTGGCCACACGTGGCACACGAGGGGCAAAACAGTTTGGCCCGACTTTTCGCATCCGAAATCTGCCGAATACTGGACCAAACAGTTCCGGGAGTTTCACAAACAGGTGCCCATCGATGGCTCCTGGAATGACATGAACGAGATCGCCAACGGTATGAGCTCGTCGGTCAACGGGTGCCCAAAAGGTAACCCACTTGAATCACCCCCATATGTGCCAAAACAACTGAGTAAACTACAACATCACACACTCTGTATGACTGCCAAACATTACGCCGGCGTTGAATATAATGTGCATAATTTGTATGCAATTTATGAGGCTATGGCTACTGATAAGTAAGTTTATTAACAATAAGTATACTGTAAATTATGTTTAGCTTTGTCTTGTTATGTGTATTAATTATTATTATTTTATTTATCATACACAGAGCGTTGAAAGAGGTGCGCCAAAAGCGGTCATTTGTCATATCCCGGGCCACATCTCCCGGTCAGGGCAAGTACTCCGGGCACTGGGATGGAGACATTGATACAGACTATTCAAGCATGCAGTGGACTATCCCTTGTGAGTATTATTTAAAATATTATTTTGTTATGGTGATTCTATTGTTACATGTTAGCACATGTTTATTGTGACTATTATTATTATTTTTACAGCAATTATGAATATGAATATGTTTGGCATACCGTTAGTCGGGGGCGATATATGCGGTTTTCTGGGCAAAGCAGAAAACAACACGTTTCACCAGGAGTTGTGCGCTAGGTGGTTTGAGATTGGCGCATTTTATCCGTTTTCCAGGTTAGATTACCTAATCTAAACAATAATTACATACTTACAAATAATTGTACAAAAAAAATTAGAAATCATAACACAAAGAAAATGGACCAGGATCCAGTGGCCATGGGTACCATGGTGACTCGAGCGGCCAAACAAGCACTGGAAACCAGATACGCTCTTCTACCATATTTATATACACTCTTTTACCAAGCTAAAGTTAACGCCGACACTGTAGCTCGACCACTATTCTTTGAATTTCCAACTGACACTCCCACATACGACCCAGTTGTGGCCGAGAGGCAGTTTATGTGGGGCCAGGCATTTATGATAGCGCCTGTAGTTGAACCCAATGTGACCAAAATCAAGCCCTACTTACCGGCGGGTATTTGGTATCCGTTTGAATACCCAAAGTTTGATAAGCCTATTGTGAGTAGCGGTCAGTTCATGGAGTTTGACGCCCCGGTAGACAAAGTGAATACATTCTTAAGGGCCGGACATATAGTGCCGATACTACCTGTCCAGCAGACAACCACTGCTATGAGAAAAGAAAATTTTACCTTGCTCACGTTTTTAGATAAATCAGGTTCAGCCCACGCAACTGCCCATGGTCAGTTATATTGGGACGATGGTGATTCAATAGACCCTGTTGAACAGAAACAGTATACACTGGTTACTTTTAATGCCACTGATGTAAGCTATTAATATAGTAAATAAACTAGTTGATTAAATAATTGTCATGATATTTTTTAGAGCACCCTGGTTACAAAACCAGAACACAATGGCTATACTGTCGCTGTAGTGGTGGGCGAGATAGATGTGTTTGGTGTGAGTGTTAAGCCAACAACGGTGTTGATCAATGGTGTGGCGGCTAAAAAGTTTTCATATAATCCTATTGGGCAACAATTAACTGTTACCGAGTTGGACCTAAATCTTGGTACAACTAAACATTTAATAGAATGGAAATAAAATATTGATGCAACATATTTTTATTTTGTAATAATTATAATAAGTATTAATAATTTAATAAATAATACATAATGTAAAAGTAATTTGTATGCTTCTCGATATTTAATTATTTTGCCTTAAGGTTAATGTGTTTAATATGATTTTAATTAATTTAAATAATCAATAATTAAATTCAATTAGTTTTTCTATTTATTATTATTTACTATTTAACATATTTACTATTTACAAGGTTTACTTCCATATGATATTTATAAAATTTTACAATAAATTTATTGTTTAAAATGTATAAATAAATCATAATAATATTGATCCCGTATAGATTTTTACAAAAATAATTTGATTGTGGTTATATAATTTAAAATAAATAATAAAATTTATAAAGCTATAACATATTAATTATGCATAAACACGCAGTGCACATATATATCATAATAATTATCCAAATGTACTAGATTTCTGAATATAACTTTAAATATACACAATGATTGACAAAATATTGATATTTATTTTGATAACAAATGTCAAAGTATTTTAAAATGTTTAGAATAGTATAATTATATTTATTTATTATTACACTTTTATCACCTAGCTCAACATAAAATGGCTAATCACAGAATATTAAGCAACTATTTAATTGACAAATACATTGATGATATATACGGTCGTACAATGAACCAGAAGTCATCTAGTTTATTTACAAAAATTGCTCTATCAACTTATATTATTAATATTGTTAAAACAATTATAGCGCAAAATTTATCAAACGATTCGCGCTTGCTACTTTTCGATGCAATGATCTTTGTCGGTGGTCTACCCCAGTATAATATAATCGTCATTATATTGGCCGGTTGTATGTGCTCGAGGTTACTATACCAGTTACATATTGATACAACGCCTACCAATATGGCATGGGTCAATTTATTCCTAATGTTACGTGGTGATATAAGACCTACACAGTTACCACTGTACAGACTTAACCCGAATATATTGCCCAGGTTAAGATTATTTGCTAAAATAATTTATTTACTAGTAGATGTTTTGTTCATAATCACAAGTAAGTAATTATAATACATTTGTAATACCATAATTATAATAACTTAATTATTAATTTAATCAAACTTGGCATTTATCAACAGTTACCGCCGCATACGCCATGGTAATAGGCGCCAGTTTACAACACTATACCATTTGGACATTTACCATCTCATTAATACCCCAAATACTAATGTACGTCACAATATACAGCGCGTGGACCGGCACGTTTGCCACGTTAGCATTTACCACGATCATAGCTTTTGCCTGCATACTCAGTGTCACCAGGGCCAATAGCACCTTGCATCCCAGAATGGACCAAGATCATACTAAGCCCCGAAGCACTATGCACTTGCAAATATGTATTAGTAATTATTTGCATCACCATAATGAATATTGTTGGTATTCCTTGATGTATAATTCATCTTGGCGCAATTTTTACTTGGTGTTTGTGATCACCCTTATACCAGCTCACCTGATCGGCACGCACCTGGTACTTTTTGAGTCCATGCACCCGCTTGTACTATATCTGGCCATGGTGGTACTGTTGATATTGTCCGGTGTGATATTTGTGTTTCAATTTGTTTGCGCATGGTTGTGCTACATAATACACCGGCACACCAAATTGCTGGCCAGACTACAGTGGCGACTGTCCTGCCCACTCAGGCTTAAGCTTA